CTGGAGCCAGGCTGGGAGAGCTGGGGGGGTTCCCCTGGAGAAGAGAAGGCTCCAGGGAGAGCTGAGAGCCCCTGGCAGGGCCTAAAGGGGCTCCAGGAGAGCTGGAGAGGGACTGGGGACAAGGCATGGAGGGACAGCACACAGGGAATGGCTTCCCACTGCCAGAGGGCAGGGATAGATGGGATATTGAGAACAAATCCTTCCCTGTGAAGGTGGTAAAGCCCTGGCACAGGTTGCCCCATCCCTGGCAGTGTCCAGGTTGGATGGGGCTTGGAGCAACCTGGGACGGTGGAAAGTGTTCCTGCCCATGGCAGGGGGTGGAACAAGATGGTCTTTAAGGTTCCTTCCAACCAAAACCATTCTGTGATTCTGTAACACAGTGAAGCAGGGAAGAAGCAAAAGCCTGGATTAGAAGTGTTGCTCCAGGTTTCTCCAAGCTCCATCCAACCTGGACATGAACATTTCCAAGGATCCAGGGGCAGCCACAGCGTCTCTGGGCAACCTGTGCCAGCCAGTGCCTCACCACCATCAAAACCAAGAATTTCTTCCCAATATCCCATCTAACCCTGCCCTCTGCCAGTGGAAAGCCATTCTCCCTTGTCCTGTCCCTCCAGGCCCTTGCCCAAAGTCCCTCTCCAGCTCTCCAGGAGCCCCTTTAGGCACTGGAAGGTGCTGGAATGTCTCCCTGGGCCCAGAGCATCTCAGACCCCTGTATGGCATCCCTGCACTGTGCCGTTGATCCTGTTGGTGTCCCAGCCTGGGCACAAGCTTCCTGTATTCCTATACCAGAGCAGCAGGTATCAGGAATGGTGAGAACTCCATCCACCCCTCCAGCCACACCCCCAAAATCCAGCCTAAAGATCAGAGACACCCTACAACCCTGAGTAGGACCAAGTCTGCTTAATGCTGGCATTGCCTGAAACATTCCTCTTAAAGCAGAATCCCGTTTCCCTGCCTGGAGGGGGTGGAATGAGGCCGATCCTCAGGAACGCTGGTTACATGCAGCTCTCTCCTGACCCTCATGTTTATCCCCAGGGTTGGTGCTGCATGGAGCGACCCCAGAAGGAGCTGCAGAGCCCCTCAAAGGTGTCTGGCAGTGCCAGAGATATCAAGTAAGGCAAACTGAACATGAGACGCCTGGTGAAGATTCCTGCACAAGTCCTTGGGCATGTTTTCAAGCCAAGAGAAGCAGAGCCAAGAAAACCAGCTCTGCTGTTACAGGATACCTGCAAATTCTCTCCTGGCTGTGCTGCCCAAAGGCACCCAGGGGGTCACCCTTTGGATCACCAGTGCATGTTTCCCTGGGGCCTCCTGGGACCAAACAAGGAAGACGTGGAGAATCATCACGAGGACTTTTCTGACTCAAGGGATTGCCCTGGAGAGAGACCCTCTCCGTGGGTGTGAAAAAGAAGATGGTTGGGAAATTGGATCGAACAGATCCAAACCCAACAGTATCCGGTACCAAGGCCTCTTCCAGCAGAACCTTCCAGGAAGAGATTTAACCACACCCCTCCTGTCCCCCCGCTGCTCTTCAGGCTTCAAAACACATTGGCCAGAATGCTGTTGCCAGAGGAATCGTCCCAGCTGCTATTTCTGGAGCCGAGCGTACACCAGGAATGCCACGGCAGAGATGACGGCGATGCCCACGGCAGGGAGGATGTATGGCAGGGACGGGCCGTTGCTGTCCCCTGCAGGGACCTTGGCCTGAGGAGAGCTGGTGGCAGCGCCACGGCCACCGCTGGAGTCGAAATCCGGAGAGCTTCTGAGGGGACCGACTCCGTCATCGCCAGCTCCGAGCTGGATGCTGGGGTAGTGATCCACACAGACCTCATGGATGCCCACGGAGGTGCTGTCCCGGCTCGGAGTGGAACGGGAGTCTCTGCTCGCTCCATCTGCCTCCTGTCCCCCAGGGTCTGCACGAGGTGCGGGAGCCAAGGAGCCTCTGGAGAATGCTCCTGTCGAGCTATCGCTGCTCACCAGGATTGGGTCGCTGCTGAGGCCGAGGCTGTCGGAGGCTGCAGAATTGGGGCTGCTGGGCCCGTGAGAGCCCGGGCATCTGCCGGGCACCTCTGTGTCCCCCGGAGCCACGGAGACGAGGATGCCCGGCTTGCTGAGCTCCACACCCTCCTCTGCATCGCCGCAGGATGCCCAGGCGCTCGTGCCAGAGCTCACCCGGGAGGCCGATCTCCCAGCCGTGCCTTCGGAGCTTCCCACCACAGCTGTGCCAAGGAGAGGCTCTGCCGAGGCTGGGAACACCTTTGGGAGACAAGGAGAGGGGGTGGGTGCTGTGGGAATCTCCCATTGGCCTGGTCTAGGGCACACACATCACAGGACAAACCCAGCTCAGCACTCAGCCCCTACATCTCTTGCCACCAACAGGGAGGCTGGGTCACAGGTAACTCCCAGGGCTGGGAGTACGAGCAGAGCAGGGAGGTGCTGGGGTGCCAGGGAACCTTTGGATTCAGGGGAGGTTTTGGAAGGAAAGAAGGGAGCCAAGCAGTGAGGAGAGGAAAGCAGCACCTGGAAGGCAGGAGCCTGACTGGCCAGTCAAGGAGGGGAAATAAGGAGTCAAAGCCCAACAGAACTTGGCTTCCCTCTCTTGTGCTGCAAAATGCAGCGTCTGGATGGGAACATGAACGCAACGGGAGGAAAACATCACAGAATAAACTCACCACCAGCTCAAAATGTGACACTGCGGTAGAACATCTCCCAGCCAGGGGGAGTTCACAAGGACCTGGATGAAATGAAAGTGGCAAGAGGGAAGGTCACCTACTTTCTCCGTCGGCATGGAGTAGGTGCTGCCAGCTCTGCTCCCAACAGGTGGTTTCTTCTCTGGCACAGATTTCACAGAGGTGTCATGGGATGGGGAAGTGCCTCTGGGTACAGGGGCAGCAGCCAGGGGGGTTGTTCCTGTGGAAGTGTCTGTCAGGGAGAAAACAGCACACTGTGTTAACCAGGAGGCCTAAAAGGCGAGCTTTGCTGTTCTTCAAGGACGCTGTGACAGGACAGCCCCCAAGCCGAGGGGGTCACACAGGGAGCAGGACACAGTGCTCTGGACCTGCCATGGCATCCGAGCTCTCCTGGTAGCTGCAGGTAACTCCCCCACGGTGGGCTGCAGGGTTGGGGAGTGTCGAGGGAGATGGAGGCTTTCAAGGCTCCTGTAGGATCTGAGCTCCATGTCCTCCCCCAGCCAGGAGGTGCTGATCCCACATGGTAGAGGGGAACAGGCTGGGAGGGATGGATGTCCCTCTCCCCTGAGACCCTGGAGGGGAGGGCAGAGCTTCATTCTATTCCATGAAGCCCATGCAGGCAAGGGATGCAGGAGATGCTAACATTCCCCCAGACACAGAACACAAACATCTCTGCAAACCAAGGCGGGGGAAGAAGTTTCGCACCCCAAAGCTGCCCCACTGACAGCAAAAATTAAAATGCAGTTGGGTGAGATGACCATTGTAGGTTCATTCCAAATCAAATAGTCTGTTCTGTTCTATTCTGTTCCAACCCTTAACCCAGCACTCCCAAGGCCAACACTAACCCATGTCCCCAAGTGCCATATCTACATGTCTTCTAAATCACTCCAGGGATTGGGACTCCACCCTGGGCAGCTGTGTCAGGGCAGAACAGCCTTTTTCATGAAGAATTTTTCCCAACATCCAAGCTAGAAATCCCCTGGCACAGCTTGAGGCCTTTTCTTCTTGTCCTGTCCCTTCTTCTCTAGGACCAGAGCCCAACCCCTTCCCCGGCTCCCCCCTCCTGTCAGGGAGTTGCAGAGCCAGAAGGTCCCCCCTGAGCCTCTTTTTATTGAGGCTGAGCCCCCCCAGCTCCCTCAGCTGCTCCTGCTGCTCCAGACCCTTCCCCAGCTCTGTTCCTTTCTCTGGACACACTCTAGCATTCCAATTTCTTCCCTGCAGTGACAGGTTTCCTGCAGCACCTCCTGCTCCCCAGTGGCTACGTGGCTCTGCCAGGAAGCAAACCCACCTCCACGCCCTCCATCCTCCTGCAGCATCTGGACCCGCTTCTTCTCTGCATCAAACTGCTCCTGTATGAGGAGGGGGCTGCGCACATCCACGAAGCTGCTCGGGGGCTCAGAGCTCGGCACAGGCTGCTTTTTTGGCAGTGAGTTTGGGGGCTGCTGCCCCGCACCACGAGCGGCCCCCTCCAGCCTCGGGGGAAATTCCGTGGACTCGTCCGAGTGCTCTTCGGGCTCGTTGCGGGGCCGCTCGGGGCTGTGAGTGGCACTGGGCTCCCTGGCTGGAAGAGCCCTGCCCAGCGCCAGGCCCGGCGCCCCGTGGTGCAGGTGGTTGGCATTCCCAAAACACCCGTTGTCCACACACACCGGCCGGCGGCTCAGCCAGTCCCGGCCCTGCTCCGGGGGCACGGCCGATGGCACGGACACGCTGGCCACCACGGGGGTCCCCACTGACCCCTGCGTGGTATCACCGGGGTGGGAGAGGGGTCCCTCTCCGCTCACTCCGTCACGGACTGTGCTCCTAGGTAGAATTGGCTGGACACTCTCTTGCTCCGGGAGTTTTTTGGGGAGCTGGAAGAGAAACGAGCTGTGTTAAATCACTGGAGTGAGGGGATTTAGGATCACCAGGGTGCCCCAAACCCTGAGCAGTGGCCCCAGCAAGGCTGCTGATGGGGTATCTCCTTGACACCCACCACAGCTCACACAAGGGTCAGGGGCTGTGCAGAGGAGCCTGGACTAACAGAGTGGAGCCTGCGCACCCCTGCGGAGAAGAGGCGGGAGGGGGAGCCTGGAGGGGAGCCTGGACTAATTAAGCAGACCCTGCACTCCCCCCACAAAGGAAAGGCAGGAGGGGGAGCAGTTACAAGGCCATGTATAACCTGTAAGTTACCAGATCCAGCAGAGATCAGCAGTGAGAGTCTGCTGGGTTGGCCCTGAACCAGCCTGGCCCTACCACGGGCTCCCCACACCCCACCAAAAGGTCCAAAAGGGACCTTTGTGTCCCCATCCAACATGTGCCCTTCTCACCGATTCCTGCACCGGGATTCTGGCCTCCACATGGGTGCTCATGGTGGTGGCATCGCTGGGTGGGATGGGTGGATGGTCACCAACAGGCAGGTCCCGGCGAGGCTGCTCAGCCAGCGGGGCTCCTGGAGCAGAATTCGGCTGCAGGGCCGGTGTCGGGGCATTGACGGAGGAGTTGGTGGGACGGGCATTGCTGGGAAGGGAGGAGGCAGGGGCAGGAGCTGAGGGACCTGGAGGAGTCAAGCAGATCATGAGCAGGAACACTGCTGGAAAAGCTGAGGAAGCAGAGGATGAGCATGGGGCTGAGGCAGCCCGGCATGTGCCCACAGTGGCCAAGCCCACAGCACCCCTTCACTCATCTCTCCACCTCCCCTCCAGATGAGAACCCCAGCCCACCACCAACCCAGGCACCTTCAAAGAAGGACCCCATCACCCTCAGACATGCTGAGGGATGGTCAGACACCCCCAGCCCCTTGGACACTAAGGCAGGGACAGAGACCAGCTGCTCGGTGACATGTTTCGGGTCCCCACCTCCACCACCAACCCAGGCACCTTCAAAGAAGGACCCCATCACCCTCAGACATGCTGAGGGATGGTCAGACACCCCCAGCCCCTTGGACACTAAGGCAGGGACAGAGACCAGCTGCTCGGTGACATGTTTCGGGTCCCCACCTCCACCAGCTTCCAGAGACAGCACCCAGGGAGGACGAGGCTACGTACGGGGTTTCCAGGTGTCATACACCTCCTGCACCTCATCAGCCAGGTGTCCTGCGTTGTTGTGGCGCAAGGCTTGGATGAGATCCGGCACCCAGTCCTTCCGGCACCTCAGGCGCTGATAAAACTTAAAGACGGTGGCCTGGCTGCCCCGCATCTCCTCCCGGGCGTGGAGTTCATCCTGGGAAAAGCACACAGGGCATCTAAGAGAAGGTCTGGCTTTAGGGGTAAGGCATCTGTACGTTCATACTGAGGAAGGAGCACGGCAGGGCTCGGGAAAGGAGGAAATTACTCGGTCAGAATCGACGAGGCAGGTCAGGGAATCAGCCAGCGACCCCACATGGATAGTCCCGAAATGCCTGAGGTTCCTCATAATGTGGCTGTACACTTTTTCTTCGGCCAAACCCATCCTGGCTCAGCACCTACAGAGAGACAGAGACTTTATGGTGAGCAGAGGCTGCCGGTGACGCTCGGGTTGTCTCCGGGAGCTCGGGCTGTTCCTTAGGCACCCGTATCCCTGGCACGGGCACTCAGCCTCCCGAGAGGGGAAATCCCGTGTGGAAAACACCCACAGAGACAACGCTCGGGTTAAAGTTCAGTTCTCGGCTTCACTTCCACAAACCGCGCTCCCTTCTGCCATCGCCCAGCCCCTGTTTATTATTCCCACTCCGTTTGTCTGGGTCCAACCCGCCGGGCTGGGGGCTGGCCTGGCGACAGGGTCACGACAGGCGACAGGATCACGACAGGCGACAGGGCCACCACAGGCGATAGGGGCCACGTCTGGGATCCCGCACAGGCGATGAAAAAGCCAAAGGGGAAGGCGAAGGAGACTCTTTCCACAGGAAATAGCGGCCCGCTCACGGCGGGGCCAACCCCCCCCCCCGCCCTCAGCGCGACCTTCACTCCCCCCGAGGAAGCTCCAGGAGCGTCCCCGCTCACAAACCCCCCTGGCACAGCCACCGGGGGTCTCTGCGGGGGCTGTGGCGGCCGCGGGGGTCGGATCGGCCCCGGCTCCCCCCGCTCCCCTCACGGCCCCTCAGGGCCCCCCCCTCACCTGCGCCGCCGCCGCCGCCGCTACCGCCCGGCTCCGCTCCGGCCCCGCCCACCGCGCGTCGCGGCCGCCGCTGATTGGTCCGAGTGCACGCCCGTCACGGTGATTGACAGGCTGTGATTGACAGCGGGGTGTGCCCAGTTCCGGCCCCCTCAGGGCGGGAGGGACGGGGAGATCCTGGAGGGAGACGGGATTGAGGGAATGGAGCGAATGTCCTGGGAGGAGAGGCTGAGGGAGCTGGGAATGGTTAGTGACGGGAGGGGAAGGGAAAGAGGAAGGGGGAAGGGGAAGGGGAAGGGGAAGGGGAAGGGGAAGGGGAAGGGGAAGGGAAAGGGGAAGGGGAAGGGAGGTAAGGTTTGGGAAGGGAAAGTTTGGGAAGGGAAGGTTTGGGAAGGGGAGGGGAGGGGAAAGGGAGAAGGGGAAAGGGAGAAGGAAAGGAAGGGGAAGGGAAAAGGAAGGGGAAGGGAAAAGGGAAAGAGAAAGCAAGAGGACGAGACAAGACCAAGGGGATCTCATCAATCCATAGAAATATCTCCAAGGGGTGTCAGAGGATGGTGCCGGACTCTTTTTGGTGGTGCCCAGCGACAGGACGAGGAGCAGTGGCCATTAACGAAATCCCTACAAGTTTCACCTCAACACAAGGAAAAACTTTTTTACGTTGAGGATGGCAGAACACTGGAACAGATTGTCTAGAGAAGGTGTGGAGTCTCCTCGCTGGAGATATTCCAGAACCATCTGGACACAATCCTGTGCTGTGTGCTCTGGGATGACCCTGCCCGAGCAGGGAGGTGGGGCCAGATGACCCACTGCGGGCCCTCCCAGCGTGACCCATCCTGGGATTCTGTAAATACTTCCATCCTTTTTGAGCCTCGAAGATGAACAATCTGCAGATCAAATATCTCCAATATCTGTGATGACTGAACGCCAACTCACTATTTTCACAATATTTTTCATATCATGTCCAGAATTTAGGGAATTCTGCAAAGGCTACGTACCAATACCATTTAGATTTTAAATAATAAACTGTGCAACACAGACAAAGAAATTCTTCCCTGCGAGGGTGGAGAGACACTGGCACAGGTTGCCCAGAGAAGCTGTGGCTGCCCCATCCCTGGAAGTGTTCAGGGCCAGATTGGATGGGGCTTGGAGCAACCTGGGCTAGTGGAAGGTGGTGCTGTCCATGGATGATCTTTAAGGTTCTTTCCATCCGTTCTTCCTAAATAAGAAGAGACTTCATGACAATCAAAACTCAGCTCATGACAAACAAAACCCACTCAGTTGCACCCAGTAAATTTTTGTGCTTAGAATAACAGAATTTTTAGGGGTTGGAAGGTACCTTAAAGACCATCTAGTTCCATCCCTTGTCATGGACAGGAACGCCTTCCATCAGAGTAAGTTATCCTAAGGCCTTATCCAACCTGGATTTGAACACTTCCAGGGTTGGAGCATCCACAGCCTCTCTGGGCAGCCTGTTCCAGTGTCACACCAGAATAAAATACTTTTTCCTAATATCCAACCTAAATTCATCCTCCTTTAAACTGTGCCCATTACTTCTTGTCCTACCACTATAATTCCTAACAAAGAGTCCCATATTATATTATATTATATTATATTATATTATATTATATTATATTATATTATATTATATTATATTATATTATATTATATTATATTATATTATATTATATTATATTAATATTGTATATTATCTGTTCATATTGTATTTGGCAATTACTATAATAATTACTATTATTATAATAATATTAATAATATAAAATAAACAGAGCAATATCAATAATCATATAAAATTGTATATATTATATATTATTAGAATTAATATTTTATGTATAATAATATATATAATATGTTTCATATGAATACTGTGTATTATTTGTTAATATTGTATCTTGTAATTATTATAATTGCTATTATCAAAGCAATATGAATAATATAATTAAATAATGCAATATCAGTGATACAAAAATATAAAATAAGATATTCTTATGAATAGTTTTTATTATGTACAACATTATATATATTATTATATGTTCTAAATGAATACTGTATATTATCTGTTGATATTGTATTTGGTAATGACTATTATAATTACTATTATAATAATATAAATAATATAATAAAATAATAGAATAATATAGGATAATAAATTTATTAATAGAATTCATATTTTACAATATATATAATATATATGATATATGAATATTGCATATGATCTGTTAATATTGTATATTGCAATTACTATTATGAGTACTGTTATTATAACAACATAAATAATAAAGTAATGCTAACTTATTAATATACCACTATAATATTTTATATTATGTACAATACTAGGTATTATGTTTTAATATTGTATATGATGTAATAATATTGTGTAGTGTAATTATTATTATTATTATACAACTAATATAATAATGCAAATAATATAATAATATAAATAGCATCTTGCAAACAATATAATAAAATACATGACATAATGCTATGAATAATATCACAAAAATATAATACAAATTTAATAGAAATTTGTGATTCTGGGATTTTGGGAAGCGGGACCCGCGGGTTGGGGGGGTCGGGGGGGGGGGGCGCAGAGCCGCCTCCGCGCCGCCAGGGGGCAGCACCGCCCCGCCGCGGGCTCGGCGTGACCACGCCCACCGGCCCCTCCCCCTCGGCCACACCCACCGGCCCCTCCCCATGCGGGCCCCGCCCCCGGGCACGCCCCCTGCGCGAGCCGCGCGATGGCGGCGGCAGCGGGCGGGCGGCGGCGGCGGCGCCGCTGAGCGCCGGGAGAGCCCTGAGGGGCGCCGGGGGCGTCCCGCTCCCCTTGCCCTCCCTCGCACCCCGCTGCCCCCAGCGTCCCCCCGCGCCCGCCCGCGCCGCGCCCTCCATGGTCACGGGCGGCCCCCGCGGCCTCGCAGCGCAGCCGTTCGGGCGGGAGCCGGCGCGGGAGCAGCGGCCGCAGGTGAGCGGGGGGGGGGGGGGCGCGGGGGGGGGGGGGGGGGGGGGCGGGGGGGGGGGGGGGGGGGGGGGGGGCGGGGGGGCGGGGGGGGGAGCGCAGGTGAGCGGGGGGGGAGCGCAGGTGACCCCCCCCTACACACACACACACACACACACACACCGGGGCGGGCACAGCGATGTGGGGGTGATGGAAGGGGCGCGGGGCGCGACCCACGCGTGGCCGCGGCGGCGGATCGCCCCACCACCCACCCAGCGCGGGGTTTGATGTTGGAATGTCTGAGTGCATGTTCGTGCGCGTGTTCGTGCGCGTTCGTTAATAATAACGGTGGGGTTCAGGAGTGATCGCGGAGCGGGGAGTGTGAACTCGGTGCGTTGGAGCGAGTCCAGAGGAGGCCACCAAGTTGATCAGAGCAGGAGGGAGCACCTCTGCTGTGGGGAGAGGCTGGGAGAATGGGAATGGTCCAGCCTGCAGAAGGCTTTGGGGTGATCTAATTGTGGCCTTCCAGCACTTGAAAGGAGCGAAGGGGAAAGATGGAGAGAGACTACAAGGGCCTGGAAGTGACAGGACGAGGGGGAATGGCTTCGAACTGGAAGGGAGTAGTTTTAGGTTGGGTATTGGGAAGAAATTCTTCCCTGTGATGGGGAGGAGGCACTGGCACGGGTTGCCCAGAGAAGCTGCGGCTGCCCCATCCCTGGAGGTGTATAGGGCCAGGTTGGACGGGCCTTGGAGCAGCCTGGGATAGTGGCAGGGGGTGGAATGAGATGCTCTTTAAGGTCTCTTCCAACCTAAACCATTCCATGATTCCATGAACTTCCAGCCACAGTTCTGCAGCGACCCACGGCCCCTTCCCCTGCTGCACCCATAGGGAGGAACACAGGTCCAAGCTAGGGACCCCCCTGTGACACCCAGGAAACAGAGCTGCAGGCCAGGACCACCACTGCCACCATCTCCTCCCTCCACCCGCCCACCTCCCTGCCGCGGGATTACCCGGATCCGTGGACACCCCCACGCAGGACACTGGGCCGTCCAGTCAGTGTGGAACCCACCTGACCCACGCTCTGGCCACACCCTTCAGCAGCTCTGAGCTGAGCCCCCGACCAGAGGCTTGTTTTAGGAGGGATATTCCAGCCTGGGAGCTCGTGGCCTGGATCCCACCTGCACCATCCCTCCGGGAGATGCTCCAAGCTGGAGGGTTGGAGGGGTGCCCCCCTCGCCGTGGGGTCCGAGAGCTCTGTCCCCTCCCCGAGGGCTCTGTCCCCTCCCCGAGGGTTCCCTCCCCTCCCTGCCACTGCCTCCCTGCATCCCGACTGGGAATCCCAAACGGGAAGGTCCGGGCTGCCGCGCTCCAGGCCCTCCCACGCTCGGGTAGCCGCGTCCTCCCTCCTCGGCCGGCGCTTGCTTATTCCCGGTCTTGGATGTCATCGAGGGTGGAAAATGTGACAGGAAGGAAGGGAGGCTTTTTTTCCCTCCTGCTAAATATGGACTGACATTAAAAATCCAAATACTGTCGTGAAAGGAATCCCAACCTCTGTTTGCTGGAGGAGGGAAGGAAAACGATGTTTTCTGGCTTTTCGGCCGTGAGGTTCCAGCTGGGAAGTTTCGCAAGGAGCGGCGGAGTCCTTGCCGGGAGCCTCAGGAATTTACTGAGCTTGTTCACAGGACGCTCTGCAGCGTCTTATGCTAAAAAAAAAATTAGTCATCCCTTCTCTGCCTGGCCCTGGCTGGGGGGAGCCTGCCGTGAGCACGCAGGATGCTTGGAAATATTTAGGGATTTGTCCTCCTATACAGGGAGTTCTAGAAACAGGAAATAAAACTGCGGCCCAAACAGGAGTTTTTCATCTTCATTTTAATTCCTGTTGCTGCAGCAGCCTGTGGCAGGGAAGGGGAGGATGTGCACGGGGTGGCTGCAGCCGGATTTGCAGGGAGGGTTTGTCTCTCTGTCAGGCATCAGATGCAAACTCATGCTGGAAAACAGGCTTGATGTGGGGCTCAGGGATGAGGAATGGGACCACAGGGGTGGATACAGCACTGCCAGCTCCCCCAGTGGCTTCAGCTGGGGCCAAGGTGAAGAGCCAGGATGCTTTTGGGGAGCAGGGACTGCAGCTTCCCAAGGACCTGGGGGTGCTGGAAGAGAGAGAGACTTGGTGTCTGTGCTGGGCAGAAGGTGGGCTCTGCCACCTTCCTGCTCCATGTGTTCCTCTGCATCGCTGTGGGAAAGATTTCTTGGGGGGGGGGTGTCTGTGGGAAGGTCCAGGGTTTTTGCCTGATGTTTATAAAAACAATTGGTTGAAGCAGCTGGTTGGTTAAAGTTGGTGGAAGGCGGTGGAGTCCCCATCCCTGGAGGTGTTGAAGGAACGACTGGACGTGGCACTCAGTGCTCTGCTCGTGTTGACAAGGTGGGGATCGGTCACAGCTCGGACTTGGTGATCTTGGAGGTCTTTTCCAACCTAATGGATTCTGTGACAGCAGTGTGGGGATCCTGGGTGGTGCTGGAATGGGTGTTTCCCTTTCTCAGGGCACTGCTGTCCTGGCGCCGGTGCCGCTGTGTTGTTCCCAAGCTAAGGAGGCACAGCTCTGCCTTTCTGAAATGCCACTCTCAAATAACTGGATCTCTGTGCTGCTCCATGACACTGGTCCATGTCCAGCACCAGCATCCCTGTGGAAGAGTAGTTTGAATTCCATCTCTCCCCATCTCCTCCTGCTGCTGACCTACATCTGCTCTGCTCCGACCCTCTGTGTTTGCAGCGGGATGGTGGATCCTGATTAAGGGTTGGACTCAGTGACCTCAGAGTTCTTTTCCAGCCTGGTTCTGTGGTTCTGATCCAGTGTGGAGGGTGCGGGTTGTGCCACCTGTGCCGTGCTCGGTGGCAGCGTCGTGGTCTGTGTGATGCCTCAGAACGCTGGGGAGGGCGAGGTGTTATATTTTGCTGGGATATTTTGCACCGAACAGTCTGCCCATACGCTTCCAAAGGGTCAGGAGCGGCACCAGCTGCCGCCTGGTGCTTCCCTCTCGCTGTGACACGGACGGGAGGTCGCTCGGCCCTCGCAGCCGCTTTCTGGGCTCGTTCACAAATCGCATTTTGCCCTGGAAATAAAACAAATCCCTGGGCTTTCCTGTCGCAGTGGAAGTCATTTAAACATGACCAGGTCCGTAAGCATCTCCAAAGCCTGCGGACAGGAAGAGACACTCGAGTGGAGAGGTAGGAAATGTCCGCATTTATAGCAGTGGCTGATTCATCTCCTGCTCTTAACTCCTTCCCTTCTGCCCTCGGTGGGATCCAGCTGCTTTTCTTCGAGGCTCAGAGGCTGAGGAGACTCTGGCTGGCTCACGGGACTCTGCTGGGTTTTTGCACATCGTGTTTACGCGGCTTGGGGTGGAAAAGGAGTGGTGTGTGGTTATCCGAGTCGGATAACCGGAACGTCGGCAGTCACATTAGAAGGGATTAATATTTAATATATAGGGTATGAACCTTGGTGCTTAATCATTATCTGAAGGGCTTAGGGAGAGATTTAGCGATAAGCAAGTGATTCCCGAACTGTCCAGAGTGATTTCTTGCGTATTCCTCTGGAGCAGCTGGTCCTGGATATCCCCAGAGGCTGGTCTGATCCTGTTCTTCCTGATGTCTCCTGCTTTTGTAAGTGGGCAGAGCGGCTTTCATCACGAGTGCTTGCTTCTCATTAAACTCACAAATACTCTGGAAACCCTTTTTCTCTGATGCAGCTCACGTGCCTGGACTGTGAGGACCTGTCAGTGCTTGAAACTTCTGTGTGTAGCCAGAGCCCGTGGGAAACGTGTCGTGGGATCCGTGGATGTTGTCGCTGTCACACACGTCTGCCCAGCCACTGCTCCAGAGGCAGCTCGTTTGTACTTTTCTCTGGCCAGCCTCTTTAGGAGACCTTAAATGTCATCTCCAGGCCCCAGTATTGTCCCTGAACCCCCCGTGGTGGCTTTCCATGGCTGCTCCATGTTGTCCCTTGTGGGGTTTTTTTCAGCAGAAGGTGTTTTTGTTGGACAGCAGGGTGGGGGCTGCCCCTCTGGGACGGGGGTTGCTGTGTTTGAGCAGGGAAGGGGTGATGGGGGGAGACTGCTGTGTCCAGGTCTGGAGTCCTGAGCACAGTAAAGACATGGACCTGTTGGAGCAAGTCCAGAGGAGGCCCCGCAGGGGCTGCCAGGGCTGGAGCCCCTCTGCTCTGGAGCCAGGCTGGGAGAGCTGGGGGGGTTCCCCTGGAGAAGAGAAGGCTCCAGGGAGACCTCTGAGCACTTTCCAGTATTTAAAGGGAGCTTTTAAAAAAGAGGGAGAACAACTTTTTATGGGGACTAACTGTGATAGGACAAGGGGAACGATTTTAAACTAAAAAAGGGTAGATTTAGACTGGATTTAAAGAACAAATCCTTCCCTGTGAGGGTGGGGAGGTCCTGGCACAGGTTGGGCAGAGAAGCTGTGGCTGCCCCTGGATCCCTGGAAGTGTCCAAAGCTGGGTTGGACAGGGCTTGGAGCAACCTGGGCTGGTGGAAGGTGTCCCTGCCCATGGCAGGGGATGGAACAAGATGGTCTTTCAGGTCCCTTCCAACCGAAGCCATCCTGTGATTCTGTGCCAGGGCACGCAAATAATCCCTCTCCCTTCCCTCCCTACCCCAAGTGAAAACTCACCTGTCTGAAAACACCAGCCATGTCATCAAACAAACTGTACTGTGGTTGCTGTTATGGTACTGCTTCTGTTTTGTGGGCTGCAGTTTTGATGGTGGAAGACAAAACAATTAAGTATGAGCTGGGTTTTGGCATATTGGCCACGTAGAAGATCTACTGTAAGAGGCATGGAGGTTGAAAACCTTTTGAAAAATGGGTCTGCCTTTTTCCCAGAGCACCTGTGGAAGAATCAAAGAATCACAGAATGGACCTTAAAGCTCTTCTCGTTCCAACCCCCTGCCGTGGTCAGGGGCACCTTCCACTATCCCAGGTTGCTCCAAGCCCTGTCCAACCTGGCCTTGAGAGTGCTCCTTTTATTCCATCTGCAAACACATCACTCGCTCAGGCAGCAGCGACTCTTTATTCCAGAATAATTTGTTGTCCTAATTCCTTCCTGTTGAAGCAGCTCCATTTTGCATGGAATAATTAGTACTAATTTGGATCTGGGATGGAAAACAAGAGTTCTCTGACTTCAGAGGAGCAGACAAGAGCATAACCTCTGCCTTTCCCGCGTGAGTCAGGTCGTGCCGTGCCACCCCTCCTCGGAAGGAAAATTAAAACCTGTCTGCGAGACAGAACATTCCAGGTTGGTTAGGAGGGAGCAGGAGGTGGAGGTGTCACGGATTTTAAGCCTTCTGCCTTTGCAGGGAGTCAAGGACGTGTGTGGTGAGGAGGAATGGGCCACCACCTCCTTCCCTCTTGGCTGACACTGAGGAACAAATAAACAAAAATGTTCCCACCGCGCCGATGTGAAAAAGCTGCCTCTGAGCCAGCCTGGCCTGGTGGTGGATTCCTGGCGCCCCAGCCAAGTACTTGAGACCTTTTTATTGCCATAACTGAGGATTTCCTCATCCTGCCCCACAGTCTGACTCGAGCCACAGCTATTTTTTGGTCCTTCCGGGAAGACATCCCTGCTCTGCCTTCCTCTCTCTAGGGAAGGGAGGCCAGCCAAATCCCCTCCCTCCCCCAAATCCCTGCCTGTTTGAAGAAGGGGAGGTGCAGGCATCCTCCCTGCCTTCCCAGCGTTTTCCTGGAGAGCATGAGGTGAATTCCACAGGGGGGATCACCCCTGCCTGTCTCTGGTAGGTTCAGTGTTTGCTAATGGGGTTGTGAGCACTGAGGCCATGAACATCTCTCCAGGCTGAGTCCTGGAGGTGTTGGAAATGGGAGATGTCTAGCCTGGAAATCCCAATCTGGCCAGAGATGGACTTCCCAGTGTCTGGATACCCAACCACCAGAAGCTTTGGCTGATGGATGCTACTTAAACAGAGAGTTTTAAGACCTTGGGGGTCCAAAATGCTGCTTGACACTCTCCAACTACATGGATAAAATTATGTTAGAGGCTGATTGCAGAGGTGCATACCTGGGTGGAAAACAGGGTTCAGCGTGTTCCAGCTTGTAGGTTTTGTGTATCCAAGTTAAGTAATAGGTGACAGGAAACCTTAATCCAGGTATGAGCAGTGAATCAATCAGGGCTGGATTGCTCTGGGGTTGAACCAGCCTCCCCCAAGGATGACTGTCCTCCCATATCACACCCGATGTTTTGAAACAGTCTCTGGGTTAGGATTGTTGTGATGTTCTAAACCCCAGGGGTTTGGCTGGCTCTGGGCTCCACCCCATCCGAGGTGACCTTGCTCCTGGGCTGCAGAGAGTAACTGCTGAGGGCAGGATGTCTCCCTGGGCCTGTGCTCAGATGCTGATCCCAGGGAGTTGGGGATCTGCCCTAGAAGGCAGCTTGTAGAGGGTCTCCCCAGGAATGGCACCC